GTTCGCATCGTTTGTAATTAACACTGGCCAACTCAGTTGTGTGTGCACCTGCACGCAACCCCCCCCCCCCGGTCTACTTCATACTGCTAGTTTGTTGATGAAACACCAACTGAAGGTGTATTAGCTATCCAACGCACGTTTTCTGGACATGGTTAGTTTCTTCCAAAAAACTTCGCGAAACATTCATTTATTTTCCCCACACTCGCATACATTTCAATGCATCATAATAAAAAAAAACCTGTCCCCTGCGCTGCTACGCATTTGTAATAACATGATTATTCACTACAATCGGGAAAGTTATTCTTTATAACAGCGCGTCAATGGCATTGAATAAAACAGAGTACACTAATGTCACGTTTCAACCTGCAGCGATATGGGTACCACTCCCATATACGACTATCTTTTATAGTTATTTTTAATGACAACTTTCAAGGTGAAGACACAATACGTGTCATTCCGTATATCACTTGCCGTATAACATCAATGTACAGTAAGGCTTTGTTTGTATTTCACGTTTTTATTGCCCGTAACAAATCAACTATAGGCTTACAAAGTCACGACTTCTCTTCTTGACTTTACATTTCTACTCAGAAATGTATCAGGACATCTGCATTCCTTGGTCTAATGAAGGCTATAGCTCCTGGTCAGCATAAATAAGCACATTATGACATGGATGAACTAACGCCCAAAAATAGCGACGTCTTGATGGCGGAGAAGGTGCTGCGAGAGGAGACTACGATAAAAGCACGCGTTTTATTGACTAACAAACTTACAATCACTGTTCCTGTTAATTACTAGTACATACATTCTTCTTCACACAGAGAAAGTATGGTTAAAACGCATATTTGTAGGAGATGTAACTCAGGAAATGTAATAATATCCGAATTCATAGTACAGTGATATGACTTAGTTATCTATATTATAATTATCTACTGCAGTATATTGAGAGTCAACATTAATAACATGGTCACCCTGGCAATGTTCGTTTCCATGGTTCAGCGTATTGACAGGAATACAGTCAGAAGGCTGATCACATCATAAAGCTATAGCTATCATGTTTGCACCAGCTTATAATAGTAGACACAGTGAACTAATATACGGTACTACTACAGTCATATTATAACCATTTAATAGGCTTGATTACAAGTATTAAATATTGACAATTATTTAAATTCAGATTGTATGTGTATTTGAATAACAATTATATGAGCCTTCCATTAATTATACTGCCCATATACCTGATGTCTAAAGAACTTTCCCACAACGTTACGCGAACAAAACAAAAAAAACGTTTACAGAATCATATAACATAACGGGCTTGGTATGCCGTAATTCAGGACAAATTTATATAGTTTGGTTATTAAATTGAAATTAATCTGTTAATATTGCTAGTTATTTGACGTGCTAAACTATAAATTTCTCGTCAATCTTAATACACGTCTCACGTGTGATACTTTGAATTATACGCATAACCCTCTGACACCCGAATTATGATCACCAACCTTAATCATTTCACCACTGTCTGTGGGGTTTTTTATATTTGACACTTAAAATGTTAAGTAAATTTAAACACCTAGTGTGTCCATCGTGGTAACCGTACGCCATTCATTATTGCAACACGAACGAGTGATTGACCGTAATGACTGGTCAAATGACAAAGAATGTGCCGTTAATCCATTTAGCCTATATTTACTTTCATGGCCAGTCAGCGGAGACGCCACGGTCACGGAGAACATAATTATTCTGGATATGAATCTTATGAAAATGTAAAGATTGACAATGGACATTGTTCGAGTGTCAGTTGCAACCCATGGTCGATCGAGGTAAAATTAGACTAGATCTTCTTGTTGATATGATATACTTATATGACAATAATATAGGGGCATAGGGGTAATGAATAATAGCTAACTGTACTTGTTTACCTTGGAAATGAATGGCCTGGAACAAAAACAACAATGACATACTGTGTGTATAATCCCATCACATTGCCGGGTTGAAGGGACGTGATAGTAGCCATGACAAGTATTGTGCATATATGCTTTGTGATTACCATAGTGTACGTCCTACACATGCAAAGAATGTCTGTCCACAGGGCCCCTGTTTGTAATGTGCCGCATACTCAGCAAAGTTTGATATTCGAAGGTGACAATATCAGGAAAATCTTGTTGACCCGACAGCCAATTGAAGAGGACATGAACTTTGCCTTTTTGCTGTTTGTTTGCATATGCCTTATTCCATGCTATAATGGACGTGAATACTGGTAATATGTGTGGCACTGTGGTTGTACTAAATGCAAACTATTGGGGTACAATGCTGTATAGATATGAAAATAACAGAGGTGAAAAATTATTGTTGAATTCCCTATTGTCTGTATGCTATATAAGTCGTGTTTATTAACACATAATATTCAAGTTATTCGGAAGGGGTGAAAACGGTTATTTAAACATTTTAAAAAAATAAATAAAAAGTAAAAAAACATCAAAAAAGGGCAAAGTTGAATAATACAAAAAACAAACTAGGATGTGTGTTGTTGTATATGCGTTGCGCACTTACATGTACTAAATATACTTAAGGTAGAAACCTGATCATGATTTCAAATACCCGGAATTTATAAATTTTCCAATAAATTTTACTTTCGGGCAATAGAAGGTTATTGACTTACACAAAGTTGGGGTCACCAGCTTAATTTTAGTGTATAATGGCCATTTTGATAGTATTATAGTACATAGATTCCTATGGGAGGCTTGTGACATAGGCTAAAATTACTAGTATATATTGTGAATGGTGGAATACTGTTTTGTTGTTCTCAATTATTTCAACAATCTGGGTTTTAAAAAGTGACAAAAAATGAAATTTTCCTTCAACATTGTGTTCTATGGAAATGTTCTAAAAATTGCGATTTTTGAAAAAATATTAGGACAAATTTCTCAAAATACGTCAATGTAACATACAAATGAATGCTATTTCATGGTGTCACGAGTCAATAGTATTGTGGTGTACATAATAAACTAATAAACATTGTCATGTGATTTATGAACACTTTCTCGAAAATTAGGAGAAGGATTAATAGGATTCTGCGCGAGGATCATCGCCTTTTAACTGTGTAATAGGTATTAACATGTTATTGTTATACATTTGGTATTCATATTTATTCTGAATTAAATGAAATTTATCATTATGATAGATTTGTTTTAGCATAATGCGATTTATCCATTATAATTTTCCACAATTTAATCAACATCACAGAGTTCACTAATTCTTTCATTATTGAGTGGTCGGAGTCTTGCAAGAGATTCGAGAAGAGCAATATTTGTTAAGTAATTTTTTCACTGTGGGTATCTTTTTTAAATAGTCTATCAGTAAGTTCACAATGTATTTATTTTGCATTCTGCAACAATTGTTGATTTCTTCTGTAAAATGTTAAATATAAGATATAGACCATGCGCTGGTACATTGCTATATATTTAATACTTCCATGCTTGTATTTATTTTGGTGTCAGTATTTCACATGAATTCAAATCTATGTCGCAAAACGTTTTTTCTCCACACTACCTGTATATGCTGTACGTTCCTGTATAAGGTATAGACCATACCTCATGGTACATTGCCTTACATTCAATACTTCCATGCTTGTACATAATATGTTATCAGGAACAAATGGTATTTCTTTAAGGTTCTATGACCAATAAAGTTTAAAACATGACATTAGATAACTATGCGATATTTACGTGTTGCCGGGCTCGTCATGTCGCGGCTTCCGTAGAAATAGGACGAGTAACACGGTTTTATAAGTCAAAGCAGACGAATATACGATATAATTACTTCTTTGTCGCTATAATCACCTTATTAGCATACATTTGTTTTTAACTTATCTGCCAAACAGTTATTGTAAAGAATAGTACTGCAGTTAATAATTTATTTAATTACCCGGATGTGAATAATTTCGTCTTCGAGTTGAAACATCGGTTACGCTAAGAGGGAATAGGATGAATGATACAGACCAAAAGAAGGACACGTTCACATTCAACAAATGAGCGGACGATTCGCTTGATTTTTGGCTTCCCTATTGGTCTGGTCTTCGAATTCGAACTAAAATACGGGTACAAATGTGCTCTCTTGCTCACGGTGCGGGAAACAAACACAATGTTTTGATAGCTGTAATTAGAAAATAATATTTTTCTGAGAAATATTGTAAATTACGAATGAATACACAAACAAACATAGTTGGTGCTTTCGTCCCTCCCCATTATTTTGACGTCATGGCGAGCCTTGTCGTTAGAGGGCGCCACATAAAAAATGATAACACGAAACACATAGTCACCGTCCCTCAACGAGAAACGTTGCCATAGTCGACACAACCACATTCGACCTATCGTAAAGTAACATTTCAAGTGATAGCTGTTCACGTACATATTCATGTATAAACTGTGTAATTCGGGGGACATCTCAAGAAATTTCGCCGGTGGCGCATTATTTATTTAACATCAAATTAGAAACTTTTTTCCTGTGTTCAAACAAATAACAAAAAACTCAATGGATTTTTGTAATCGTATCGTTCACCCTTAATTGTCGATATTGCAGACTTTAATGATATGTTTAATGTATCTCATATACATAATTAAGATTTCGCGATTCACAATATTGTTTCTGTATGATATACTCAAAGATTTTGATCCATCATCAATGTCTCTAGCTTTTTAAATGTTCGCCTTATTTCCTTTCTACTTATTCTTCTTTATTGCTTTCTACTTTTAATGTTTTTGATTGTGACTACAACGTGCAACTGTAATAAGTATATCAAGTCACTGACTAGTAACACACTTTAGACTGGTGCTATTGATTGCCGACCAGGGCAACGAACTTACCTGGGATTGGTAAATGCATGGAGGTATAAAGGGTTCACACGTGTGATTGCGATTTTCAAACAGCGCCCCCTAGTGACAATGTTAACAATTTTATTACATTTGACCTTTTTCTGTGAACTGTTTACTTCCGGATTAGCGTCCGCTCTCGTCGCGTGTTGTTTGTTTTCAATTTTCTAGCATTTGGCTCAGTTTTTCCGACCCTGCTCTTCTATGAGATGAACACGTTGTAACGTTGAAGAAGTTTTCCACTGTCAAAACAGACAATACAACCATGTACTTACTGTTTTGATCGAGAAAAGTCGACAGCACCGTGACCGGCGTCAGAGACAGAGCGGCAATTTTGAACAGCGTGAATACAGTAATTGACTGCCGCGATGAAACTTGCTACATACAGGGAAATACTGGAGTATATGCACTCTTGTGGTACACGGGAATGCTTGAAAACATTAGCCAAGAAATATCCCGAGTAAGTAGACAAATTCAAATCTTCTTGTTACTAGAGCTGCTACATTTGATGTCTGGGGGGAGTATTTCAGCTGTGTAGACTTGGCTCTCCAGTGTGACTATTATTCACCTTGTTTGATCCCAGGGATTAATTTCACGTCTTGGAGAAGTATGCGCAGGGCTTTGAATTGAGAGGCATCTATTTTCAAGGCAAAAGTTTATATTGGTGAGTGAATAGGAATACAGTATTATTATGTAAGGAAAGTCTGTATTTTTCAAAAAGAACCAGGGCAAACCACTAGGCCATCGAGGCAGTTGCCTTTGATGCCTATGTGAAGTTCAAGCTCTACCATCCTTATTCCAAATAGTCATACTGATCATGAAAACTACAGTAGAATTCACCCCATCTTACATGAATGTATCAATAAATAAATATGGTGCTTACATGTTTTTTTACGATTATAACACAGCCACTTGGGGGCTGAAAATCAATAAATACTAATTAAAAAAAATCATCCGCTATACGTATATAAGTTGTGAAACATGGTACCTAGTAAACCTAAGTATTTTCTTGATTTACCCAGAACTCTGTGCGAATCCCCCTTGATTCTGGCTGCTGGCCATTTTCGTTTCTGAAATCGTTGGACATCATAAGAAAACGCGGGATTTGTGCAGTTTTGAATAAAACCAAGTTA